CACCTTCTTTAGACTAGACTCATTCCTCTAATGATATGTATTGATTGTCGATTTCGAGGAAAGGTCCAATGTATAAACTGGTAAATAGGTACCTACTACAGATAAACAGATAACAGATAAACAGATGAACAGATGAACAGATAAACAGATAAACAGATGAACAGATAAACAGATGAACAGATGAACAGATAAACAGATGAACAGATAAACAGATGAACAGATGAACAGATAAACAGATGAACAGATAAACAGATGAACAGATAAACAGATGAACAGATGAACAGATAAACAGATGAACAGATAAACAGATGAACAGATAAACAGATGAACAGATAAACAGATGAAGAGATTTAAAAAAGCTGTTCATTTGAAGGCTGTTTCCGAACACCGTTTTTAATCTGCTTATCTGTTGACTCGTTTACTATGGTTTATTTGTCTTCCCGCTAAATCGATAATCAAAAGCAGCTTGATTGCGGGATTAAGCAATCCTTTATTTAATTTATCTTTCGAACGCAAAACACCCTGCAGTTTATGTGGAAAATATGTAGCATTCGAATCGATGGAAGTGGCTTGGTTAATACTCGACTTCCAGTTGAGCTATATACATATGCCCGGATATCAGTATTCTGAATAAAAACTTGGAAAATATATTTATTTGGAGTAGGTCGAATGGACTTAATTTGAACCCTAAGAAAACGGTGGCCATATGTGTTGGAGTATGAAATATTCGAGAGGTAGGTATATTCATTGCGAATAAACGTAGAGAAATTACTTTAGATGGTCGTCTAATACAGCTAGACAACAGTACTAAGAATCGTCGCTTATACAAAAAATTTAAACTTCGAAATTACGAACTGCCTATGGGAAACTGAAAGCGTTATACGAATTTAGGGATTTGTTGAACGGACCATTAAAATATTCTGACAAATTCTTTGATTCAAAGTCAATTGGACTACACTACAGTCTACTTGTATACTTTCCCTACCTGACTGCAAGAATTAAAAACAGAAATGACGTTCTTCAGAATGCATAGTTTCAGATTTTCATTCTATGTACCAAGGGGACATCACGTTAATAAATATAAGATTCTTGTACGTCGAGAAATTGATCGAGTATTAAATTTTGTCCATAAGTCATTATTGTATAAACTATCATTATACCTTTTCAATTTATTAACTTTTATAACGTCAAAAATGGGACTCGGGAACCATTTGTTATCCATCCCTGCCGTTAGGTACGAGAAGCTTAAGGTCCGCTTTTGAGATATAAATATTATAATTGTATTATTTTCTTAATAAATTATTATTATTATTAGGGACCTAGCACTAAATTAGATAAAAGGCTAAAGCTAAAGATTAATGGAAAGCTCGTCTTAGTGTTTAAAATCTGCTACATTGCCATCGGAAAACCTGGATCCCCAATTTGTAGAGGACCATACAATGAGTCCAGTTGAGGCTTGTTCGATTACTAGAACATGTGGTATCAACTGAAGAAAAATAGATGGATATTAGAAGCCAATCATCGCTGTATAGGTCACGAGAATGTAAACTATCAACACCGAGCAAACTGGCTGATATACAGAAAATGATAAACAGGATATACACCGGTACAATTCGCTCACCAATGAAGCGAAGGCCGAATTTATACGAAAAACCTTCATGCAAATTCGGTATGCACGACTGATGAAGGGTAAGCAGATTTTATACGAAAAACCTCGAGAATTCTGAAAAAATTCCGTTGTTATTCTGTAAGAAGTTCCAGTTGTCATGGTAAAGGCATAGGCAGCGGTTGAGAATGTTCGTCTTATAGATACACCTCTTTCCACGGCCACCCAGGAGGCAATAAATTCACATTAAAGTAATGTAATTTTATTGGAGGTGTTTATTGGCCTCGTTATAGGGTTCCCCATTAGAAATTTCTTATATATAGAGTATATAAAAAACAACTAATAGGCCTACCATAATTTTTGAATGTCAAATGATTACAATTTAAAAAGTAAAAAAATACATAAGATGCAGACACAAACAGTAACCGAATTCCACACTGGCATATAGCTTGATTCTTCCTCCTACCAATTCTCCACCCACGACACTCACTCTTGCCGTTAGAGATGGACTCTCCCAACATTACGTGATTCGTTTTTTGTGTGTGCAAAAATATTGCGCCGGTGAACGAGAGCTGGGTTCACTCCGGAAAATGAAACAAAAATCCGTCTGTGGAAACATCATCGCTAAAGGGGTTGTACGAATTCCTGTCTACCGGAGCGCTATGAGACGTTGAAGAATCTTCAGACCGCAATAAAAAACATGAAGGCAGCGCAGCGCTAGTCCACACGTACAACATACACACACCCTTCTTACAGTTCTAGTGTCTCTTCCTCGACTTGACCAAACACCGAAGAGGAACATGCGACGGTAGATACAAAAAGATGGATCGCTCGGATCGGTGATTATGATGAAATAGTGTAAAGTTTCCAAAAATACCAATAAACATAATTTTTCATTGTGAAAATAATTGGGAACCTTATTTTACGTAGGTACCAGCTCCCGGTAGAAGAAGAACATTCGCGAGAGTGAAATCGCAAATTATTCCTTAGGGAAATGAAAAACTCCTTGATGTTTATATATCATTTATTAACACAACTCAAGAAGGTATATTATTTATATTTAAATTAAACGTATAATATTCTTGATCAGAGGCAGAAGTGGTTTCTGATGTGTAATTGCAGAGAGTTCAACTATCTCTTTGATTAATCCATATAACTTTCCACAACAGTTGCAGATTTCCATCCGCATGCCCGACTCGATTCGTTTTTTTTGTGCAAAAAAGATTGCGCCGGTGGACGAGAGCTAAGTTCCCTACACGACTCCGGAAACAAAAATCCGCCAATGGAAACATCATCACCAAAGCCGTCTGCGTGAGTTTTCTTTTTAGGACCGGGGTTGTGTGAATTCCTGCCTACCGGAGCGCTGTGAGACGTTGGAGAACCTTCACACCGGAATACAAAACAAGAAGGCAGCGCAACGCTAGTCCACACGTATCTGACGAAACATCGAGGAATAACATGCGGGGTAGATTCAAAAAGATGGATTGATCGGAACGGTGATTATGATGAAAAAAAAAGGAAATAGTGTACAATTTTTAAAAACGTCCCTATTATTCCGTAGAGAAATGAAAACTCCTTGGTGTTTATATATCATTTATTAACATAACTCAAAAAGGTACATTGTTTACATATAAATCAGACGTAATGTTATCACATTTGATCAGAAGCAGAAGTGGTTTCTGATGTATAATTGCAGAGAGTACAACTATCTCCTTGATTAATCCGATTCAAGATAACTTTCCGCAACATCCACGATCCTCACATGCCCATTGGGGCTCATCTGAGTGCTTCTAAACGTCCAGAAAACGCAATATTGGCATATCGAAAATTTATCACGATTACAATACTTTCCTTTATACATACTTTGTATGTAGAGGGAAAGTAACAATGGAGGCCTAACAGGTTTCTTTGTTAAGAATTAATCTATTGTAGGTCTGGTTAAGTAAAAAAAAAGTGTGGGTTGGTAAATTAATAGATTGATATAGAAAAACTAATTCAAAAATACATTAGGAGGGATACCAAATCTGCACATTAATCAACATCCATCGGGTTATCGGCAACATCTTGAGGTTTATCAATAGCATAATGGCCCCACGGAAGAGTGTTAAATGAGCCGGGAATTAGATACCTCTTATCGTCTTCGGGACTTAGAGCAATTTTCGACTGTGTTATAGAATACACTTGATGTTTATCTGTCCGAATCAAATTTTGAGATGCTGTTTTGCGCTTAAATGTCTCCAGACATTCCACATAATCATCAAAAGAAATTTTAGTCTCGACTACACTTTTCTTTACTCCCTTTGCCTTTTTTATCAAACCATAATTTTTAATAATCGTAGCAATTTCATCCTCCTCATACTCTTCCGCTTCTAATTTCTGACGCAATTTTATTAAATCATCCTTGGTGGTTAATACTTTGGTCGTGTACAGTTTAGATCGCAATCCTACATAATCAGTCATTACTTTCCCATTATTTTCATCCTTCATCATACCCAAGACTTTCTTATTTACAAGAGGTATGTCATATGGGTTGTTAGGGTTAAAATCGCTGGTATCGTAATATTTAAAACAATCGCTTTTAATAACCATATACGGGTCTTGCTCTCGAATTTCATAAATTAAACTATCGGTATCAGTATAAACGGCAGTACAGTTACCTCCAAATCTATCCATCATGTAGTCGTAGTGAAAGCTGTATATGGTCGTCTTAGCTAAATCAAGAATGGCTTGACCTACGTATATAGGTTTATTTAAATATACTTCAAGCTTATTCATTTCTACCGCCACCAAGTTCTCATTAAATATAACGCAAGATTTAAATTCTGGTTTTGAGATATATGATTCTGCACCATAACGACCCTCCCATTTGGATAATAATTTAACGTCAAGTCGTTTTCTAACATTTTCCATGGTCTTCCCAAAGACTGCGTTGTTCATCAACTTAAACAAGTTCTTCTCAAATTCATTCTTGGCATTTCTTCTTAGGTTCGTATTCAAGTCAATGTAGGACTTTAGCCAAGGGGACTGTTTAAATTTTAGTACTCTATGTACTTTAGTGAGAACTAAGCCGTGAGCTAATGCTTGTTTCAAGGCGCGATAGTGGATGACGTATTTTTCTTTATGATTTAGGGTTGCCATGAGTTTTGAAGTTTCTTTAGCTCTAGATGGTGGTTTCATGGTTTTCGGGTTGATATGTAATGCACAGAATGGTAAATCTTGATGTAAGTCATGCAACTGCTTTGGATACTCCAAATCAACTTCTAGAATGTAGCCTTCATTTGCATCATCCGGGATCATAGTAACATCGATGTTGGCATCTACCCATTGAAACCCCCCATAAGGAAGATATTGACTCATACTCCATCCATATTGGTTATTAATATCATTGTACATCAAATATACATCAGGTTTCGCTGAATCATACTTGGGCATGTATTTATTATTTGCGTGGACTCTTCTCTTAGAGCAGACTTGACTCAAACCTCCTCGAATACCTCGCTCAATAAAAAGAAACATATCTTGGTCGGTAAGGAGTTCCAACTCTTGCCGCGTGTGTTTCAACATGGCATCCCAAGTAAAGCCTGGCAGTGTAAAGTAGTGGGCTGGATCTAAATCATAAGTACTAATACAGCTTGATCTAAATAGTTCAAATACATCCGCAAGGAGGAGAATATCGGTCTTCATATATAACTCAACGTATTGACCTAAATTGTTGCAGTTAAATTTGCTCCACACCTCTTGAGCTCTACGATACATCCTACGGGGACAAGGCTTATCTTCCAATTTATTGTAAAACGCATCTTGAGGAGGGAGGCAAGGCTCATCGAAACGGGTAAATGAGTCTAAATAATCATACGGCATAATACCCTTTTTAGTTAAAAGATTAAATTGATCTTCAGGTAGAGCAAAGAATTGTGACTTGAGATTGGGAAATTCTGTTAGAGCTGATGATAATTTATCTAAGGATGATGCCATAAACCGGAAGCTATCTATAAATCTAAAGTTGATGCGTGACTCGTTGATATGTTTGGTAAAAGAGATATATTTTTCTTTGGTTATAGGAAGCAAGTCGATTTTACCACCCATTCTAGTGGCAATATCCGTTATAAGAAAGTGAGCGTCATATCCACTCAAGTTGTGGAATACTACCGGAATTGTATGAGTGTCCTGATAGTTGACGTTACAAATTTCACATGCAGCTCCGCGGAAGTTGTTCTCTGGAATGAGGTGATTGTGATCTCGAACCTTCTTCTGCCCTGCTGTAAATGGCTGTTCGCAAATGTGGCAGTGAGTTGCTGTTTGGAATTCGATTTCTTGTTGTGGAGTCATTTGCATCTTATAGGGGCAAAGAAACACAGTAGAGACATCTTCCGCGAGTTGATTCATCTCGTCAGCAAACCACCGCATACAATCTTCACCACGGTAACTATTGTAGAATGAAAGAGATTCGTCATATGAGCACTTGAAGTAGTATCCCACAGCTGCCGGAATATGTTGCTGGTATGCGGTCTTTTTCGCGCTAGGTTTCAGGACACTCTCGAGATCTGCATATACTACGAAGGGGGCTTTTATTTTATTTTTAAAATTTTTAAACTTCAACGTCTTTTTTTCTTCCGTAGGCATCTTGATTGCGGTATCATTCTTCTGCATACAATCTCCAGTATGCTTAATTAATTTGTCTTCAGAATGAAAATAGTGTAAACATCTATCACAAACATATTTTTGTCCATTCCTTTTGCCTAACTTTTTAGATACTAGCCGTGAAAGATTTTTGATCCAAACATAATGGAATTTAGTGGGTTGTTCATAGCAGTCTTGCACTAAAAGCAGGTTCACATGTTTATCCATCTTTTCCTTAGTTAGGTATGTAGGCAGGGTACTAAACTGATCCTTTTTCTCTTTCTTCAAAATGTACACATTAATGGAGATATTGTTCTGTTTTTCAAAATTCGAAATTTGTCTCATGGTCATCGGAAACTGGATCCCTTTTAGCTTAAGCACAGACGAGTAGTGAGGGTATTTAGATATTCTTTGAGGATGTTTATCAGCAGGATATAATGCTGAAACCACCGCCCACGCAAAGCACGCATGATCCTCGTTCTTGACGTTAACACAGGCCTTTTTTGTTTGAATTTGCGGAGGTAACTCAACATATGAAGACCCAAGTTGAGGTGTAAATTTGTTAAAATTAACCCCTAAATTAACGACGGCTCGAAGTGCCCAACCGCTGTTACATTCCTGAAACTCCGATAACTTCTTCATTAGGGGTTTACTAACCTTTTCCTCAAACCACTCTTCTATGTCAGTACCTCTATATATTGCCGCATTTGATGTTGTGAAGTACTTATATTCGTTGAGAGTTTTTTCCCCTTGAGTAATCACAAATTCCCCGCAAAAAATCGCATTTACTTTCACAGCCTCGTCTTTTTTCAAGGCGTTGAAAACCTGTCGTTTGAAGATTACCTTACAGTCCACTAAGAAGCGGCTGGGGTCTTTATGTTTGAGATTAGTAATAACACCAGTCCGTATTCTATTACTAAAAGCTGAAATGGAGTCATCCCAATGAACGCGATGCTTTGCGGTTTCTTTGTTCAATGCTATACCCTGGCCCCTCTTTTGTTCTAATTTAAAATGCTTACGCATCGATTTAATATTACGTAAACAAGCCTCATGATGTTGTTTTTCACCTATAGGTAAAGCTCCACGCAAAGAATTCCGAATCCTACGTGTCGCTTTATCACACTCTCTTATCCCTTCCCTAACTGATTTATCGCTGTAATTAGTTCTTAACACACCTAAAATACCTGCAATGTGTTTCACTAAATCTGCAAACATCTTACACGTCTAATGAATTTTAACAATAAACTAAAAAAACCTACTGCTAATAAAAATAAAACTCACCAACACGACTAATAAACAAAAACGTCTAAACACAACGAATACTAGAGCAGTAATGGAAAAAATCTGAATAATGCACCTTTTATAGCGAGCTGAAGTTACGTGTACCTGTACGTGTAATCAATTTTAATAATAAATTAAAAAACTATTAATAATAAAAATAAAACTCACCAACACGACTAATAAACACAACACGTCTAAACACAACGAATACTAGAGCAGGAATGGAAAAAATCTGAATAATTCCTCTTTTATAACGCGCTTCGAAGTTACGTGCACGTCAAATAATAATAAATTTAAAAGAATAACTACTACTGCTAATAATAATAAAACTCACCAACAGATAGGTAACTAATAAACACACAAACGCAACGACTAATTGCAAGCAATACTCGAATAGAAATGGGAAAAAATTTGAATAATCACCCTTTTATAAGGCGCGAAAATGCAATTTCTAATGAGAGTGTGTATATTTCTGCGAAATGATGATCGCTCTCCTCGGCTCTCGTTTCAGAAAAGAACAAAGTCGATTCATCACTATTTTTTACACCCGTGCGGCGTGCTTCCGAACTCAGGCCATTTTAAAATTTGAAACACATTATTGTACTTATTTGTTTATAATTATTTACTTTCATCTCCAATCCAACAAGAACACGACAGGCGCTTTGAATAATAGTGTTGAGGTAAGCATTTTCAATTAGACGTTTGCTATACGTAAAATTACACGGGAAATTTAGTGTAATAGATACATTTTTTCGTGAATTTGCAGTTTGATTAATGAGGGCGAAGCCCGAGTTAATCAAGCATATTAATGAAAAAAGACACTTTCAACACGTGTTGTACACGAAATTTTTTTGCGTAGTGATCTTTAATTACACATAATTGAATAATATAATTGACATTCGCGATTTACTGTCACTCAAAATTTGAGCTATTGTTCAAAGACAGGACGGTGGACAGGACTAAACGCCATGGAAAAGAATGGTAAAAATCGTGAAAAAAAGTACCGCTTTCCATACGATTTATTGACAAAAAAGTTCGGTAATTTGTTAACTATGCAAAAAAAATTACGGAATTATCTGCATAACTAACGAGTTGTAATACAAAAGCTGATAAGTGCGCGCGAGTATAGTTTGTGCTGAATGCGTACTGTGCAAGAGCAGTAAAGGACGACGGGGACGAGCAGAGATACTTATTACGGAGAATTGCATATGTTTATAGGTTTATATTTTGAACTTGAAATTAATTTACTTTCATCTCCATTCTCCAGTCCAACACGACAGGGTGCTCGTTGGGGTGGGGTAAGCATTTGCCATGAGTGCAACGCGTATTTTAAATATGGACCAATTACACTTTTTAGTGTGTGAACATAATAATGCAATACTGAATCGTTCAAGTAGGCATGGCGGCTTCATTATGAGATTGGGGGATGTAATAAATTGCTTTGCCGCAAAAAGGATATGCATTTACTCGTATTTGGATACCTCATAGCCGCCCGAAATTTCGAACTCACAGTAAAAAAGAACCTTGCGTGCGCGCTAATGCAGAAGGTATCTTCAGAAACATGGACACGAAAAAATCGCGGTGCATTTCCTATATTGGAATGTTCCCCGACGAACTTTTGATGTGCGCGGTGGTAAAAAGAATTTGACAAAAGTGTTACTATACGTAAAATCGCGGGAAAGATTACCAATGTAGCGCAGTTTTTCTTCAGTCGTTTTTTTTTCATTCCCGTAGCTGCCAAATACCGCTTGTATTACCATGAAGCTCCCCAAAAAGAATTCTAATACGCCCCAGTATAATTTTTGAATGCGTACTATGATACGAGAATTGCATTTGTTCTATTTATGTATTGGAATTTGAAATTATTCTTCGTAATTAAATTTACAATGCTTTCAACAATGAAGTAGTAAGGGAGAGGACGATTGTATAATAGCTGACCGATCATTTTTACACATTCCATCCCAGGAAGTCTATTCCATATAACATTTATTTTTATCCATAATCGCAAAATGAATATGAAGAACATCCATACACGTACGACTTGGATAGTACAAGTTACCTAGTATTACAGCTGGATGATGCAATGTCATATAATTATAGGAAATCTAAACAACACGTCGACTAATTCTCGTTTTAATAATTAGAGAATCGGGGAACGATTTTTTCTACAATGCTTCCTTTTATTCTATAAATAGCACAAGTAATTACCTACCTATGATTGTTTTAACGTAGATATGATTAAGGCGCGGTAGCCGAGTGGTTCAGATGGATGGTTCTAATGTAAAGATCGATGGTTCGAATCCCCGCGTCTACAAATTTACCGCAACGCTTATGAGAAGCATAACTGTCAAAAATATGAGGCAAACGGAAAGACACGGCTCATCTATATCAGTCGATAAGTAATAGTTCTGGTAGCGCAGTTGGTTATCCGACCTCTGATACAGCAGTAAGTGCGGAGGGAAGTAGGTTCGAACCTCGATCCGAACTGAAGCCTTCCAAAATAACCTTGACCCGGGCTGCCGAAAAAAAAGGAGCGAAACTAATTGGACGGAAAAACAGTCCCTCACCCCGAGAGCCTATACCATATATATAAGAGGTATATATGGCCTAATACCAACACCACGGCTGTCGAAATAAGTCGATTAAGCTGAGGCGGTAAAAGTTCCCACACCCCGGCTGCCCGGACCAACGCCTCTCCGAAATACCACACTCCGGCCCCTGCGACCAACGACATCCCTGCCGGCGAGCCCGGGACGCGCATGCGCACATGACAGAAGTGATACAAAAATGACCGAAATGGACCTTAGAATTTCTTATGGGAAATAACATGGGATTTTGACCAAAAGTGGGCCAGAACTCTCATAGCCTATCTACTATCAAGTCGAATGGAGTATATGAAAGAGAAAATTTATGATACATTTCCATTAATTGTTCAATTACTGTAATGTGCTTGGCGTCGACGAACAAGCCAATTCTGTATATTGTTCGAGTTCTTGAAGACCTTTTCGTATTGTAACTGTCTCCTGCTGCATTTGTCGTATTCCTTAATCTACTCGAGTAATTGAAGAACAATTCAATCTATCTTTGCGGCTGTAAAACGTGTCACTGTCACAAAATTAAATTTCGCTCACTATTGTAAATTAATTCCACACTTTGAAACCAATTGTAGCGTCTATCTTTATTTGTAATATTACCAAAGTGTATACCAAAAATGTATCATTTGTTTAAAAAAACACACATGCACGCTTGTGTAATATTTTTTATGTTCTTCAGAAGGACTGCTCACACAGTGTTGTTTTTGATTACTTATTGTAGGCCAGATAGACGGGAAAATTTGATTGCTTTATTTAATGTGATAAAACGTTTAAATTGTATAAAATTTGCAGGTGTCTCTTTTGTTAAATTTAATTTTTGAGATTAAGCCTGGATAGGTGTGATAAAAGTTAATGTGAATACTAGATAACATTTTGTTTATTTGGAAACATAAGAGTGCGCGTCTTACCAAATATGGAAATGGGAACGTGTTAACGCGTTCTGATAAAAGGTGAAAAAAAGAGGAATTTCTCAGGGCTAACGGCATTCAATTTACTCAAGATATTCAGTTTAATTGATGTTCTGGAGTTTGAAGACGTTAGTTTATTCATAACTTCCTCGCATTTTAGTTCAGTTTTTGGAGTTTACGTCGTCGGTGTTTGATAAGATGATATCGATGTATTGTGTAAAAGACAAGTGTCTGCAAATAATTATCGTAACCAACGATTAACGAGTTGTTTTCTCATTTTACATATTTCTTTCGGCTGAGTTCTTCCTAGAGTAGAGGAACAGCCACTTCTCGCCAAAATTCCACGTTATCTTTTAAGGTAGTCCATGACGTTGTACTATGGCTCCTCTACTTTCGAGGTAGCTTTTAATTTAGTTGCATGTAGTTTCGGGGAAAATCCGTGTTTTATTTTAAACTTAAGGTTTTTGTAATTGTCTACAAAAAAATGTCACGTGTGTTTACGAACCCTGGAAGGTTTGAGTTTTGGCAAGCCGAGTGATTATTTGTAAAATAAAATGTTAAAACGTGTTTGTGAAAATAAATAATTAAATTTTGTGTTAAAAGCTAGTTGTTTTGGCCTTTTAACATGCGCCTACAAAATGGAGCTAAGTAGGTTGAGCGGTCATCTGTACTTGTTCAACCAACAAACTTAATCTACTCCGAATTAGGTTTTCCTGCAGTTTTCCTAATTCGTAAGGTAAATACCGGAGTAGTATAGACCAACTTAAGACCTTCTGCAGAGGCACCTCTAAATAGCATTATGCGGGTCACTCTGTAATTGGGCGCATGCCTGTTGAGGGCCCAAAACAAGAGAGGAATAAAATTAAAATTAAAAATTAAAAATTAAAAATTAAAAATTAAAAATTAAAAATTAAAAATTAAAAATTAAAAATTAAAAATTAAAAATTAAAAATTAAAAATTAACTTGAAACTTGAAACTAAATTAAAAATTAAAAATTAAAAATTAAAAATTAAATTAAAATTAAAATTAATCCCTACTAACCAATGCCATCTTTTGTATATAATATAATAATATATAATAATAATGTATAATATGTTATAGCTGTGGGTTGATCACAAGTAACAAGACTTTGTTCGAAAACTATAAACTTAATTAATTTCAATCATTATATAATCAAATGTACAAAACTCTACCGAAAAGATTTAGCAGGTCAGTCGCCAATTTTAGTAGCTTGCTAAAGTGACTTTCCATCGTTTAAATTTTGCTGGATTAATGTTTTTACAATTGAGGAGCAAATAAAAGACAGTTCTAGTTTGATCTGGAACCTGAAATTTGACGTTTCCCAATAAATAAAAATTGTAAGGAGAAACTTCTTTCCCCCATAAATTAGAACTCGTAAACTCGGTAAACCGTAAACCGAAAAAGAAACAG